TATTGCGAGAGTATAAAAACTGATTGTAAAACGTCAATTTTACCTTTGACACCAACACAACTTTGACTGTGCTACAAAGCAAAAGAATCTTATTAAATAAGAATTACTTATTATTTTAAATTAATAAATTATAAAAATAGCTCGAATTATATTGATTACTATATAAAATAATGTATCGAAATACACATAATTAATTACTTAAAATAGTAAATTCTAAACGATAATTTCACATTCCCAAATTTGAATCCAATACTAAAGCAAAGTCCTACCGTACGTTCAGTTCGAGATGGTTGGAACGTGAATAATACATTTTTCGGATACCTGCAAATATAAACTCTATTTGTTTGGAGCGATGGCCAGATTGAAATCTTACCAAAAAAATATATAAACGGAGGTATTTGTTGCATCGTTCAAGACCGCTTATAAAAAATGTAAAACAATGAAATTAAATAAATTTGAGAAATTTAAAGGTATTTGTTAAAACGTTTTGTAATTTGAAGCATCATAGTATTATTTTCAATTTAAAATGATTAAAAACATGTAATGATTGAGAGCTAACAAGTCAGTTGTTCCAATATACTTTAAAAAGATTTAAATAGTTTCTCCATATAATAAATAACCACTATATAGTAATTTATATTAGTACTAAATTTTGAGTGTTTTAATTTAAAATGCCTAAAAATTCTTATTTTGTTCGATCTGGCCATAATGGAAAATGTTATACAAAACGCTTATTTTGAGGCGCTCTTACACTGGAATAAGTTGAACATCCCTTAATTCCTGTCGGTAGTTTGTAAAATTATTTCAAAGAGTTTCGCATCAATTTATCTATGATTAACATACTACCTTAGTACTTAAGATATCCGTCGCATTTACTTATGTATGTATGTGTCCGTATATTTTCAACATATCCTAACTGGCAAACAGCTACCAATAATATTACTAACTGTACAATAATACTAACTGTTGCAATCGATATAATTATGGTCTCTTTTTCTCTCAAACGCGTTCCCTGATTATTTGACAGCTCTCTCTCGAATCAAAGAGCCTCCTACCATATTATCCATGACGATTGTCACCGCCACCATCACCGTCATCTCACTAAAAAATTAAACTGGCGACATTTGTAGTCTAGCCAATATGGTGTCAAAGTAAAAATCTATCTGCGCGGACTCGATTGTAAAGGTTGCCCAACTGAATGTGCTTAACCATTTTAATGCTAAAGGATTGATTCGATTACAGAAACATCATAACAAACTAAATGGCGACAACTGGCTCCGGACCGCGCACTCTATTTGTTTCTCTAACTTACTATCGGGTGCATATAAGTATGTACGCACTTATGTATAACTCTCACGCAGTCGATGACTGAAGTGGCGGTTATTTTAAAACTCCATTGTCATCGACAGTTAACAATTTGCGTCATTTTTGCTTATTTATTTGAATGTATATATCGTCACTTGAAATGCAAGTCTACTATATTTACTACAGTCGGGAATTCAAAAATAATGTTGTTCAACTTATGGATGCACATACATACTTATGATTGCTTATAATCCCTTTTCTTCTTATATGTACATCTATCTATATACATATGTATGTAAATAAAAATGAATCGCCAAAATGTATGTACGCTCATAACTTTCATACGACTGAACCAAATTTCATAATTTTTCTAATTTTAATGTGGCTGCTGAGGTTAAAGGATGGTTTTTACGGCAAAAAAATTTCGAATAATTTCTTGCCCTCGCCAAGAGAACGGCTCCACTAATCTTGATGAAATTTTCTGAGGTAATTCGCTGTGGATTGGGGAAGGTTTAAAAATAAAAATACTTTTTACTTTTCATGAGGAAAAGTCGGAAAATTSGATAGTTCCAAAAAGTTACTTTTTTCCATACAAAATTTTTTTCAATTTTATTGTTTTGTTTTTCAATTTTC